GATGGTGCAAATGTCTGTTTCAACAACCTGCTGCAAAAAGCTAAGCTAGATCTCCTCTGGATGAGACACACCTACCCCCAACTGACACCTGTACTCCCTCCACCTTCCCTGGGGTCCTTGGGCCTTGATGTGTTGGAAAAGAGCAGGCATGTTGAACTCTTAATGAGGGGTTTCCTCCGTTTCCTACCTACCAATTGCCTGTTTCCTACCTACCACAGAGGCTCCTGAGAGTAAGTTTACCTTTGAACCCTCCTTGTATTCAGCTCTTGATCCCTCGGATTTGGTGACAATCCCTGGCTGGCAGGAAGCTTTGATCCTTGGGGAGTTCAGAGGAAGTCCTGTGATGTGTGGGATCTCCAGTGTTAGAGGATTGGGGAGAAGCCGTTCTAGTGGGGGTTGCTAAGATAGACCAATTAATTAAGAAGGCGCCTTTGCCTAGCACTCAGTTACTTAAAATAGGAGATCTGGTAGCTGACAGCAAGGAGCTCTGCACCCCTCTGCTATGAAGTGTGTTTGCACAGGCATTATTGTTTTAAGGACACAGCAGTGCCAGGGGGAAGTTCTTACCCACACTAGAAAAGACCAGAGTACCTTAGCAGAACAGAACTTCCCTTTTTAACAAGTAAAAGCTAACCTTACTTTGAATGTTAGGAGGCTCTAGCAAAAAATCTCTCAGATATTTCTAACTAGGTGAAAGATTCCTCTAGAAGAAGAAGAAAAAACAGCAAGAACTCTAGAATTTCTATGTAAGAGACACTTTGGGCTATATTCCGTTTGAGAGAGTGTTAAGAGACTTGTTTTTAAGCTGTATTTGCATAATAAACATGCGTGGTTTGCTTAGAATCTGCCTTTATTGGAGGGGGCTTGAGGGTGAGGGGACTCACTGAAGCTTCCCCAGGCTACTCCTTGGTGCCATGGATTGGCTAGAAGTAAAGGGGTGAAGGCCCTATTTCACATGGTAGGAAAATGTTGGCCCCTACATGCTGAGGCTGAACTCACTTCCTTTGCCTGCACAGAAGCACATACACTTATCTCTTAGAGCGGAGCCCATACTGTCTGGGTTGTGTGCCTGCGTCCCTGCTCGGCTGTAACTGCCAGAGGGTAGGGTTTGTGCATTATTCATTTTTTTATCCCCAGCACACTGCCTGGGCACGAAGTAGGCCCTTAATAGTGATTATTGAATGAGTGAGTAATCATGAGGCAGTAGCTATAGGGAGTCATCCTCTTCCTGGAATCATCTCTTCTTTTCACACTGCTGGCCTCCAGGAAAGAAAGATACGTCATGAAAGAGTAGCTGGATTAGTACCACAGTCAGCCTCAGACACCTGTGCTAGGTGACCTCTTTCTGAGTGTCTGCAGCTCCCTGAGAAAGCCCAGGAGATGGCTTCACACCAGATGTGGGAGCATCTTTGTGAGGTGTGCCCACAGCCTTCAGGCACTTAATGTGGCCACACTGGGCAAGGAGCACTGAGAGTTGTCTGCAGGGCCAATCATGATATGAGTGCAAAATGCTGGTGCGAAATGCACATACGGGGTCCCTTGTTCCAAGACAGGGAAAAGTGCCATTAAATGGTTTTTAAATATGAAGTTCTTTCCTTTCTTCCACCATCTCTCCCTCAACTTGTCATGGTGTTTATTGTTTGCCACTAACGTTGTTCTAAGTTGAGAATATTTTAAATGTTAAATTATTACTATGGATTTTACCGTTCTTTATATTTTGCAAAGCCAATTTTAAGTACAAATATCAGAGCATGTAACTCATGTGGAATCACCAAAACTACACAATTTGCTGTAGCTTATTCATGCGTATGTGTCTCCTTCTTAGCAGAACAATCTAAACTGAACAAAACAAAGTGACTGTTTTGATTTCACTTCTTGACATGTGCATATACTACCAACACTCTTTACCTTCAGTTTACTGCTGAATAAGGAAGGATTGAGGGGAAGGGGACTAGGGACTAGGCAAAATAGGTGAAGGGGATCAAGAGGTACAAATTTCGAGTTATAACTGAGTTGGGATGAAAAGTACAGCATAGGGAGTATAGTAAGTAATGTTGTATTAACTTTGGCGACAGATGGTAACTACACTTACCATGGTGAGCATTTTGTAATGTATGTGATTATCAAATCACAATGTTGTATACTGAGAACTAATACAATATTGTATGTCAACTATACTTTAATAAATTTAAAAAAAAAAGACTGACAGGAACAAGAATTATGGGTTGTCCTATTTCCTTTTGTGTCAACCCTTTCAGTGTAAATGTTTTGGCTAAAATAGGGAAGCAACACAAAGGATGTGATAGGGTTCCTTACCTGTCCATGTTTTTCAGAAAGCTATTGCCTTCTTTCTGTGTGTGAAGCAAGTTCTAGTTCGAACAGAAAATGTGGCCTCTCCAGGCTGTCAGTGGCTCCATTGGCTAAGTCATAAATATAATAACGTGCTGCCCTTGTACTGGCTTCAAGTCTTGCTGAACTCCCACACATTGTGGGTCCACCAGAATTCTGTGCTCATGAGGCATGGCAAATGCTGTGTGTGAATACACTAGCAGAGAATGGCAGACACCAATGCTGGGTACATGCCTCTTGCTCACACTCATGCTCTTCTATGTATTTTTACAGGGGAGTCTGTTACAGTATACAGGCTATTATATAAATTACATGGGTTTTATGAAAACCCATAAAATGAAAGAACAGATGAATGTCTACATTCTTCTATTTCTTTTTTTCTCATCTTCCTCTTTTTGAAATTATACATTGGCACAACCTTCCATATACAGCCAGTTCTTGGAGTTCCAAAGTAGTAAGAAAAATTTTTTAATCCCATTTGAAACAATTATTGTCAGAGATGCTTGCATACTGTGAAACAAACCCAATTTGATGCATGTAGATGGCATTATTATTTTTTTATTATTAAAGTATCATTGATATACAATCTAATGAAGGTTTCACATGAACAACATTGTGGTTTCAACGTTCACCCATATTATCAAGTTTTCACCCCCACATTAGATGGCATTATTAATAAATAGAAACAACATAGCATAGTGGCTAAGATTATAGGCCCTATTTCTTCCATGAAAAATAAAAAACCCAGGAACCATAAAGGAAAAACCATAAAGGTAAGTTAAACTCTATGAAAATGCAAATTTCTTCCCCAGAGAAAAAAATTTCACAAAGAAAAAAATGCCAACTGTGAAAAAAGAATATTTGCAACACATATATAATAGTGAACCTTTTTATTTTTTTTGTATATAAGCAACCCTTAGAAATCAGTAAGGAAAAGTTCAATTACTTATACCAGAAAGAAATACACAGTTTGTGTACTTATTAGAAAGATGAAAATTTATAACAGCATATTATTATTTTTCATTTACTAGATTAGCAAAGATAGAGTTTACAATACATAGTGCTGAGGAGAATATGGGGAAATGAGTATTTTCATACAATTAGATAAAAATAAATTATTGCAACCTCTTAGGCTGTATCTGTCAGAATATTAAGTGTGTATTACCCTTTGACTCAAAGATTCCATTTCTTGTCATTGTCCTTGTATGTGTCTGCAAAGACTTTAGTATCAGAATGCTACTACAGCAATATTTGCAATACCAAAAGATTTTAAAAAGCAACTTAAATGACTTTTATTGGGAGAGTGGGTAAATCAATTGTGTGACATTCATCCTATGTAGCCATTTTTTAGAAAAAGTATTTCTATATGTGTCAATTATACAAAAGATCTTCAAAGTTTGTTAAGGGCAGGGGGTGGATGGGAATTGAGGTACATGACAATGTAGAATATAATTCTGTGCTTTAAAAAAGGGAGGTACAAAAGGCATATACATTATATGCTTGTAAACACCTAGAATATATATTTCACAATAGAGAATGATGTACTCTGAGAAGGGAAACTAGGAGTCCAGAGTAGAAGAAAGACTTATTTTTTTACATGTACTTTTTTGTACTGTATTACTTTTTTAGTAACAATAAATAAATAACACAGGCTCTGGATGTTTAAAATCTGGCTCCATAATTTTTTAGCTGAGTAACCTTAGAAGGTTATGTAACCCTCTCATCCTGTTTCGTCATCCATAAAGTGGAGCTAATAACTTTCCTTTGTATGAATGATGTAAAAATTAGATAATACCTGCAAAATACCTAGTACAGTACCTGGCCCCCCACAATAGTAGCTTTTGAGGCAGAAAGCCCTAGACCGGAAGTAAAGTTACAAGTAGCTGCAGAGAAATAATGTGACCCCCCTGTGACCTAGAGTACTCAGGCCCCTTACTCTGGTTTGCTTGTTCTTTTGAAACGTATTTCATGCTCGAAGTTCTAGCCCCCAAACCAGGAGGATTTTGGAGGAAATTCTGGAAGTAGGTGCTTCGGCATCTTCCCGATTCCTTATCAGATCATAAGATCTCACTCAGCATTGGACATGAAAAGTGGGTGCGGCTGTCTGCAGGATCCTCTCGTCTCCCATTGCAGAGTTGCAATTGAAAAAAAAAATTGTAGTGACTTGGGGAAGAGCAGATATGGACGTGTGGGGGAAAACTGTGAAGTAGTGGCAAGGAAGGGCATGACTACTGAAGAAACAGCCTCTTGGGTTTCGCCAGATAGGTGCTTATTCTGGGAGTGTCAGCAGAGCGCTGTGTGGGAGCCAGAGAGGCAAATGCAGGAGCGGCCTGGCTGTGTCCTAAGGGGTGTGCCATGCTTTGGGACTAAGAGAAGGGGTCTGGAATCTGTGCTTGGGCCTGGGGCTAAAGGAAAGCAGAAATCCCCAGGGCCTGTGTAGTGAGGTGTCAGGGGTGCATGAGAAACCCAAAGGCCTATGTCAGTACAGCTGCCCTCCCTCCATCTCCAGCCTGAGAGGGCCATGCGTTATCTTCTCAAGGGAGCCTGCGAGTGTCCCTGCAGAACTCCTCAGACAGGAGAAGGCAGTTGGCTCACTCTGAGAAATGCTGGCACAGTAGACACGTGGTCATGACACTGCCTCTCTCATGCAGGTGCTGCGGGACGTCCTCAAGGATCTCTACCACCTGCTGAAGCACGTGGTACATTTGGAGCCAGATGACGTGGCCAAGCTCCATGCCCAGCTGGCCCTGGAAGAACTGGATGAGATAATGAGAAACTTTCTGTTCCCACCACAGAAGCTGGAGAAAAAGATCGTGGTCCTGCCATAGGCCCGGCCCCAAGGATCTAGAAGTGGTGTTGGGACCACGCAGCCAGAGCAGTGCCCAAGCCTTCCAGCAGGGGGCCCCACGGCTTCCTCAGTGCTGATAGTGTGGCTGACTCCAGAGGTGGCTTTGTGTCTCTGGTCAGCTGTGTCTTTAGGCTGTCCTTCCCAAAGCGTCAGTTCAGCCACATTGCATCCAGCCTGAAGTGTGTGTCCTTAAAAGAAAAAAGATTACAGATCTCATTAACCTGCACATTTTTCTCTGTTCTGTAGCATTTAGAGAAGGATGTCTACCCAATGGAGTGTATATTTAACACAATTGAGGGAATTGACTAATTGGCCAGTCTCTTCTTGCATCTTGAGTAAAAGAGGTTGGTCACCCACGTGTCACTATCTGGATATTCTTTCAAGGTGAGGTGGTTTTTCCTTGTGATAATGAGGAGCAGCCAGGGCTAGTCACCCTTGGCTGCTCCTGAGGCATTTCAGAGAACAGAGATGCAGCTGGAGGCAGGGAGGGGAAGGAAATTGTTGTCAAAATATGCAAAGTGGAATAAAATATCTGGGCTCTAAGGAATAACATGTGAATCTGGTCCTCTGCTATTGAGATGGAAGGCTATGGCATTGCAGAGGACTTGATCTCCAGAAAAGGGAACCAAGCTGATTGAATCTTCCAGAGAAGGGTAAGCCCTGTGTTTGTCCTCCTGGGCCGTATTCTTTCTCTCCTTCTGCTACCGTTTGCACAGAGTTGCCCTGATTACAGGAAAAAAACCATCAAATGAGAATATTTATGTCCACTCCTTTAGGAAGAGGAATGCTTAGACAGTGGGTTAGTTAAATGTGTGCTTCAAAGTGCATTGTATGTTGGTGATCTAATGCCAGGTTTTTCAAAATCTTTTCAGATGCAGCACTGTGGGTTCCTCTTTATTTATTTATATATTTTGGTGACTGAATTTTGATTGCAGCTAAAAGAGATGAAAGAGACTGGCTGACTGCTTCAGACAAACCCTCTCTGTGGTCAGCAACTTGCCAAGGCTAGCACAGAGCTCCTTGGTGAGTCTTCAGCTTTGCAGTGCTCAGGACAGAATTTTATCACAGGATTTTATTCCTAGTCTCTGGAGTGACCAGGCCCAGGGGTACGAAAACACAATTTCCCCAAACTTTCAGGTGGTTGAAGGGTCTGTATACAAGCAGGCCCATTTGCTAATTAACAAGATACTTCTCTCTGACTGGCATACAGACACATTCTTAGCTTTGAACTTTTGCGGTGAGCATCCCTTCAAAGGGCCAACTTGTAGTCAGGGATTGTAAGTCAGCTTAGTGAGCAAAGAATTAGAACAAAGGCATAGATATTTTAAAGGAGTAATTCCATTCAGCTGGAGTAGCTGGATTAATTTCATTCTCCAAATCAAGGATATCTAGAAAATCAGGATTAGGGCTTTCAAGTCAGAGAAGAATTTGCCTTGAACCAGTTGAATATACACTAAAAACTCTTGGCCTCTTGGCCTTCCTTTATCTAGACTCCATACAGCCCACTTCAGGTCATCATACTGGATATGCAAGATGACTGATTTAACTTACAACTTTATTTGCATTAAATGCATCCAATTCTGAGGATATATCCTAATTGATCACCTTGATGAGACTGAGAAACTCTCTAGTCTAAAAACCTATGTAGTCTCCTAGGGAGGGCCTTAGACACAGTCCCTGTGTCTCCATTGATAGACTGCCTTTAATTTGAATTACTTGCGAAGTGGCTAAAAGCATTTGTTCTTCATTTATTTTGATGGATTCAATTTCAGAGAGTGACATTTTCTGACCTTGTTACCAAATTCACGGGGGAGATACTACAATGTAACCTTCCTAAGCATGGCCAAAATATTAAAAGTTTCCAAATTATTAAATTATTCTTCCAAGTACATATCCATCCTTGAGAAACAGCATGAGAACTGAAGAACTTCAGAATAATAAAAACACAAACTCAGAAAAAAAAAAGACCCAGAACTGTAGGGGCGGATGGCAGGAGCAACAGTGACACGAAGGTGCATGGGGCCTGTGAGGTGTGTCTGCTTCTGCATAATAGCGCACACTCGTGCTTGCCTCCCACCTCCGCCCATCTCTCTGGGGCCGCCTTCTCCCTAGCGTCCCTAGTCTCCTCCGTGTTGCTGAAGTTCTCCTGGCCTCTCTTCTTCAGTCCCCTCCATTGCCCAGGAGGCTGTCACCAGACTCCCCTAGATCACTCACAGACCTTCTGCTTGGCCGAATCCCTCCTTCTCTTCCTTCTTTCCCTCCCTGGTCTCTTCCTCCTCCTCCCAGGCCTGCTGTCCATAGCCCCCTTGGCCTACAGAGGATGGCAGTGTGGCCGGAGACTTGCAGGGGGCCCAGAGCTGCGGCTGCAGCCAAAACTGCAGGGACACTTTCTGCTTCAGTGTTGACTGCTCGTTCAGGTCAGATTTCTGAACATTCTGGAGAATTCTCTGCTCTTTTGTTCTTCCTCCTTGGCACAGACTTGCCCTTCTCCAGTCCTCTGCAGAAGCCAGTCTGGTAATCTGTAATCAGAAATGCTCTTTGTCTCTCTCTACACATGTGCTTTTCCGTATTTCATAATATTCTTCTCCTTTCTTCACCTCTCTTCATTCCCTCACTTTCCTGTGGCTCTGCCCACTCATTCATATGTAAGGGCTAGGTGCCAGGGGCTGGGGGTAGGAAAGCAAATAACAGACAATAACAACAATTTATTGAGCCCCCACTGTGTGCCAGGGGCTGCGCCAGGGACTGTGAACACAGCAGTGAACAAAACAGACAAAACCCATACCCCCAGAGGAAGTTTGTGTGGAAGCAGACAATAAATAATGAAATAGAATGTCAAATGGTTTTAAATTCTATAGAGAAAAGTCAGGAACAGGAGGAAGGTGTAAAAGATAAGTTGTGTAAAGAAGGCCTCACTGAGAAGTTAGATATGAGTAAAGATCGGGAGTATGTGAAGGATCTACTATATATTTAGGGGAATGGCTGGGAAAGGCCCAGAGGTGAGAATAAGTCTGACAGGTGTGCAGGAATGCTGGAGGCCAGTTGGCTGGAGCAGGGGGCGGGAGAAGAAAGTGGAGGGGAGGAGGCGGGGGTGATAACGTGCCAAATCGCAAGGAGCCTTGTGAACCACTCTGAGCAAGGGGGGCAGCTACAAACCTATTTCTACCTGAAACCCCTTCAGCTTGTTTGTGGAAGTGCTTTGAGGCCACAATGATAAAAGCTGTGAAAGAGGAAATGCTTATGCCCATTGGAGCTTCATACTCAGCCACAGGTTTTTTCTGTCCCTCTTTACCAGCCCCCCTTCTCTGGTAGCAGCAGTTTCTCCTCATTGGCCAAAGAAGAAAGAGGAAAGCAAATGTGTTGATCTGCCTCCGTCCATACCCGCCCCTCCTCGCTCAGTCCCTCCCTTTGTGACGGGGTGAGTGAATGGAGCTGTGCCTGCCACCTGCCTGTGATTCTCACCAGCAACTCACTGCAGTGGAGGGGTGGCTGAGACATCTGAGAGGTGATCAATTGGTAGGAATAAACTGGGGGATGATTCATCCAACCTATACAAAAGCAGATTAGCTTCAGCAGTCTTTTTGCACAGGAATCAAAATCTCAGTTGGGATTTCAGGGGCAAAGAGGGCAGAAACAGAAGCTGAGTTCCAGGGTGGGCCGCGAGGGTTTGCCACTATTCCCTAACCACGGAGGCCTCCTTCCCTGAGCCCCTGGAAAGAAGCAGGCATGACCTCTGAGGGCCTGGCTGAGTCCTCCAGCAAGCTCTGCGACCAGACACTCTGCAGGCAGATGCTCTGCAGTCACATGCAGCAGCCTCACTGCAGTGCGCACCTCTGACTTCAGGGAACTGAGTCGCTGCTGGGGGTTGGGAAGCTGTCTTCTTAGAATCCCGGCTGTGGCACTCGTCCCTGCTGGCTGGGCTCAGGCTGGGCTCAGCCCATCCAGAGTGTGCTGGCAGGAGAAGAGGAGTGCAGACCCTCACCGTCAGCCCTGGAGAGGGGCTGTGCACAGTTGTCTGAAGAGTCATTCCCGTTGTCCCACTCCACAGTTCTTCACAGGGCCTTAGGAGCTCCGCGCTGCCAGGAGGGCTCAGGCATTCCCCGCACCCCAACCCTGCCCCATGACCCTCTGCAGTACCTGCTGGGCATAGGAAAGGAAGACCAGTTGCTCGGTGTTGCCTTTAGTTTTGAAAGTTGTTTTTCATCCATAAGCTTGTCTGATTCTCACAACATTGTGAAGTAGGGAGACAGGCTGTTGTTATCCCCCTCTGGTGGGATTTGGCTCCAGATCTCCTCCATCTCAGCCAGACTCTTGAATATCTGTTGAATACTATGGAGCTTCTCCCCACCAAAAAAAGGAGTCTAGAAGCAAAAGCCTTTCAACTAGAGCACAGTTTGGGAAGAAAACTCAAGAGGTCATGTGTCCACGTTGAGCCCCAGTACGTGTGTTTGACCTCCACTGGCACATACTGAGAGGTACCTATCAAGACCCCCGTGCTGGTCCTCCGCCCTCTCCCAGAGTGCTGAGGAGCGGTGAGCCCTCACATCTGGATGCCCTGGCTGCTTCTCTGTGTGTTTTCTAATAATATATGAATTATAACAAATTTAACATCTTTGTAACAAGGAAAGAAAAATTCCCACCATCTCACCTCTACTCCTACCCCAGAATAACCATGCACATTTAGGTATACATCCTTCCAGAACTTCCTTTCCTTTCACTCTTTTCCCAAATGAATACTAACATGCATTACTGCTTTCTGAAACAGAAATGGGATTTTAACTGTAAATTAAAATGATCCCATGTATCTTTTTCTTAGACATATGCTTGGAGACACTCTTCTGTCAGTACTTAAAAACCCCTGTCCTCTGTGACGACGGCATGCCTTCCTTGGGGTGGGTGAGCTCCAGCTGGGTTAAGCCTGTGTCTCCTGAAGGGCAGTTGAGTTGTTTCTAATTTCCAATGAGTCCTCAGTGATTCTCAGCATAAGTCTTTGCATACTGAAGTGTTTCTGTGGGATAGGTCCTGAGAGGTTTGAGTACTGGGTTAGAAAGCTTTAAACTTAAAAAACAAAACCAAACAAACAAAAAAACTTCAGAGGCTGGAGTTTTCTGTATACCAAAACCACCAACAGGGACATAACACACTCTGCAGGGATGCTCACCAGCAGCCATATCATGGCTACAAGTACTAGTTAGTAGCTTCTAAGTACTCCCCCCAGATAGAAATCCTGAGCCCCTGCAGGTCTTAAAAAGGGCTTTTACTAGACTCTCAGCTCTGAGACTGTCCTGCGTGTGTATTAGGGTATGGCTTCTTATGGGGTTTGCAGTGTCCTCAGGATAATAACCATGGTACCCAAACCAGACTCAGGACATAGGGTCTGGTGGCCCCTCAAAGTATTGAGTTCATCCTATAAAACCCGGGATGAATGATTGCCATAGCTTCACATCAGTGTACATAATAATCAGTTAACACTGTAAAGAGCTTATTATGCTTTTCTGTGCAGTTGACATATTTTAATCCACTCAGTCATCCCACTGGGCCTGTGAAGTAGGTATTATTTTATCCCTGTTTTACAGATGGGAAAACTGAGGCACACAAGAGGCTAATTACCTGCCCCAGATTACATAGCTAGTGATAAGTAGCCAAACCAGTATTTGGACCCAGGCAGTCGGGCTTTCAAAGCTGGGCTTTTAACTACTGTGCTTTGCTACTACCCAGTAGATTTATTTCCAGATGGTAAAAAAATTTTTAACATAAGTGAGGATAAAGAAAGTGTTTCTCTGCCTATTTAAATGGACCACTTATGTCAAGTTAAACTTCAGCCCTGATTCCCTCCAAACAGCGTCCTCCTACACCAAGAGCCAACCTGACACACAGAACTTGTTATATCTTGTGTCGGACCGTGTTGTTTGCCCAGCAGCTAGAGATGAGATTTGCTGAAGTTCCCCAGCCCACCCACTGCTGTACCTTGACAGCTTTCTTAAACTGGTTCCTGAAAGGCCTGTTCTTCTTCCTGGGGTGGCCAAGGTGGTAGACACCTGAGACTGCCTCCCTGGGAGCAGAGAAAGCAGGTCATGATGTGTTACGCAGAAAATGCAGCAAGTCTTCCCATCAACTCCAATCAGAGCCTGGAAATGTCTCCTTTGTTGTTTTGCTTTGTTTTGTGTATTACCCTCTCATCTCTGTAAACAGTGTTTCACTTCTCAGATTTCATTTTCAGAATAACAGTGGTTCATTTTAAACTGTTGTTTTCTGCGTCTATAGGTCTTACATGTACATTGATAGCTCCATTCCATACCGGTTCCTGAGAGAAAAAATGGAGACTGGAAAAGGGGGTCCAGAGAGGTTAGCTCTTGCAAATGGGAAGAGAAAGAGGGAAGGGGAGACACAAGTACACTAGTCACTTGCTCTGTTCACTAGTTCTTCCTGTTAGCTGGTTCGCCAGCATGTGCCTCTGTTGGGAGATGCAGCACGCGGAGGGTGAGAGCAGCTCCCCGGGGAAGGGTGGTGGTAGGGGGCTGCAGGGCTGCAGGAGCACCCTCTCTGCCCAAGAATAGGAAAAGTGACTGGCCTTTAAGTGATTTATTAAATGATGTAAGATTTCATCTTCACCTAAAGCTGAAGCCCACTCAGAACAGTGCCTGGGTGGATCTTTTCTGCGCGGCTCTAGTTATCACACTGGGGAGAACAGAGCCACCGCCTCTGTACTTCCAGAGTCTCTGAAACTTGAACAGCCTCCCCTCCCCAATACAACACACACCTTTATTAGACCACATACCACTTTCAAACTTCAAAACCTATGGGACATATTAATCGTAGAGAAGGGCCAGCCTGAAATTTGTCTTGTCTTTTCTAAAGGAATGGTGTTCTAATGATTCAAAGAACTGGGGGTCGTATGAGTCCTCCCCACCCACCCCCAAACTGTGAGTGTCAGTGTTGTTCAGAGATTGCAAAGAACAAGGCTCCAGCATCAGCCCTGTGAGTATTCCCCTGTGGTCAAGGCCGGGACCACAGTGGGGAGAGAGCCTTGGGACTACCGTGCCCCAAAAGAGACAGCTCAGACCCGCTACCTTAACCCATCTTTCCGGTTAGAAAATCCCCCCGAAGTGCAGAAATTCAGTCTTTTAGAAAATGAAAGCTAATCCAAGTTGTTCATGGCAACTCTGTCCTCCCACTACCAAGGGCTGGCTGTTTTTCCCCCAGTTCTCCTGAGAAAAGCAGGCAGCACCTTTGCCAATGAAAAGATTGTATCAATCCAGTTCCAGGTACATTGCAGAGATGTGGGAACTGACCCTGCCCATCTGGTCCCATCCTCTGTCTTTCTCCCTCGTCCCTTCTGCCAATTTCAAATCAGCATCCTTTCTCCTTTTCCTTTTTTTTCTTTGGGCTTGATAGCTCATTTGCTTAATTGTTCAGTTTTTGAGATCAGTTCATTCAAGCGGGTATAGCCAGCAAAGTGCTAGAGGAAAATGGATAGATACTGGTACGCTCTGGAGCTCACCTCCAAGATTGGCTGGCTCTCTGCCATCCTCCCAGTGCCAGAAGGGCACTTGAAAATTTCAGCTGAGAATCGTCAGGATGTGCTCTCAACCCTGGATGCGCAATAGAATCACCTAGGGCATTAAAAATGGAGTTCAAGCCTGAGGCTCACTCCCAATGATTCTGACTAAATTGATCTGGGATAGGGTCCAAGCATTAGTGTTTTTTAAAGAGTTCACTAGGTTTTAAAACTATTAATGTGCAGCAGTCAGATGGGAGAACCACTGCATTAGCTTACCTGGTAAGAAAGAGTATGTGTGTATTAGGGGGGGTGTCCTAACTGAAAAAAAGATCTGCTGATAGTAGGACATACTTTGGGGGCAGTCACTCCCATGAAGGAGCTGATGGAAACTGCCCCTTGCATCAGCTCTTCTCTGATTGCTTTTATGAAAGATCCAGCTTTGGACCTCCTCTGTGACAGTGACTCAAGACATCTTTAATCAGGAAAGAGGACATGAAGCAGAAGTGCCAGCACATTTAAGAACTGTTGTTAATGGTGTTGTAACAAGAGCCAAATGAATTTGGAACAAGGTTACCTCAAGTGATTTGTTCCCCTCCTGCTGATCTGGCAACCAGGACTGTAGACTGGGATTGTGTTATGTGTAGTTCTGGGAAAGAGTGTATGCACTTGTGTAGTGAGCAGGCCTGCATGTGCCGGCTTTGTGTACAGTGTACAGTGAGTCGTGTGCACATGTGGGTGTGCACACGCCCAGAGGTAGGTTTACAGCATCCAGAGAGCCCCTGTCCCTGGGGCTCCCTCAGGCAGGAATGCAATGCTGGTGACATCATCGTTCTTGGACATGTTTTTTTTCAGGAAAGGGATCATTTCAGGGCACTCCTGAAATGTGTGTGAAAGGCACTTATGTGTGCCTCCCTTCCTTTCCCAGGAGCACGGTGCTCCTGGATGAGGGGGTGAGTGGGGGCTGCAACCATCTGGGATGTGCAGGGCAAGCCATGAGCGCTGGTTTGGGGCTGTGTTGCCAGGAGGAAGGAGTCTTTATACTTTACTCAAACGTGCTGCGTGAGGGAGCACAGCTATATGTACTCCTGCCAGGCCTGTTAGATTCTCTCAAAGGTACAGTGAGATGGATTTAAAGAAAGCAAATTACTTGAGTTTTGCCTTCCACTAACCCTCTATCCTGGCCCTCCCGGCTTTACTGCTTTCTTAGTAGACTGAGGTTTCCGAACCTTTTTCACACGAACCCATGTATGATACAGACTGTACCCCACCCAGAGCCAGCTTAGAAGGAAATTCTGTGAAC